AGAGGAAGTTTAACTTGAAGTTTAACTCTCTCACTCTTGTCAGTCTGGACTCACAAACACGAGGACCATGGCTCAGTTCAGACCAGCGCTTCTCACTCTTCTTCTCACTTTTCTTCTCACACTTCACCTGCACTGCACAGGTAAGACTCCAGCACCTGTTTAAATCTGTCTAAATATTATTCATGTCAAGGTTTAAAACAGGCTGTGCAACTGTGGCTCAGGGCTAAATGTGGCCATCAGACCAAAGGTTGTTATACTTTAGTATTAGGGCCGGGCACGTTAACGCGTTCACTTTGCGTTAACTAATTAAGTCATTAACGCCGACAATTATTTTAACGCCGTAACGCAGTTTATATTATTTATTTATTTTATTGTAAACGTCTGTTTCTAATCGGCTTTTATTTTGAAAAAGTCCACCGCGAGCGTTTCTTCAAGTTTGACGTCTTTTCTTTACACTTTTTTCACTTTTTTCTGACCACGTGAGATGCAACGTGCCCGAGCCTCCGCGAGCCGCGGCTCCGGCCGCGAGTTCGGCTCTGAGCTGATATTATTTCGTTAGTTCAGTGCTGGAGTCACTGATTTACCCAGATACCACTGGAAGAAAAACTGTGATTGGTCCATTTCCATTCCATTATATTAACCCTTTGTTTCCTAAGAAATATCAGTCCAAGTTTAAAACACTGATCGAGAAATTATTACTAGTGTCGTGTTCATTACTCACAGCATAAAAAATATTCAATAAATATATTAGTAGTACAAACGTCCATTCAATATTTTTTCTTGAGCCTTCCCTGAAAACCTTGAAGGCTCTGAGGTTCCCCCGTGAAAGAAATGCTGTTTGCACAAGAAATGTTTGGCTCTTTCATTTACATTTCCAATAAAAGTCGCTATACTGTACTTTTTAATTCATTAATTGGTTTTGCATATAACATGTGATTAATCGCGATTAATCGCTCGAACTCATGCGATTAATCGCAATTTAAATTTTTTTATTTTTGCCCATGCCCTAATATATATATATACACATATATATATATATATATATATATATATATATATAATATATAAATCATAAAGACCGGGGTGAACAAACCATGTATCATTCGTTCATTTGTTTTTCAATATAAAACCAAAAATAAGAAAATGAAAAAACAACAGTTTTCTTCGTTATTTGTCTCCAAAACCAAAATGAAAAAACGGATAACGATTCTTTTTTTCAATTTTCGATTTTGTGTTTAAATGAAGAATGGAAAAAACGGATAACGGCTGTTTCCCATTTACGTGACTTCAGTGACGCATACGGACTGAACCAGGACTGATCCAGGTCCAAGACAAGACCAGGACCAGACCGGGACCAGATCGGAGGCTCAGAGCCCACGGCAGGGCCAGAGCTCGAAGCTGAGGCTCTGACCATGCGGAGACTCGGAGTCAAAGCTCGGAGTCCACCCTGGTCCGGCTCTGGTCCAGGTCTGGTCCCGGTCTGTCCCGGTCTCAGTCCCGCTCTGGTCCCGGTCTGTCCCGGTCTCAGTCCCGCTCTGATCCCGGTCTGTCCCGGTCTCAGTCCCGCTCTGGTCCCGGTCTGTCCCGGTCTCAGTCCCGCTCTGATCCCGGTCTGTCCCGGTCTCAGTCCCGCTCTGGTACCGGTCTGGTCTCGGACCTGGATCAGTCCTGGTTCAGTCCATACGCGGTGCAAAAGTCCGGCATCGCAGTCACGGAAGTCACGTAAACGGGAAACGGCCGTTATCCGTTTTTTCCATTCTTCATTTAAACACAAAATCGAAAACTGAAAAAACAAATCGTTATCTGTTTTTTCATTTTGGTTTTGGAGACAAATAGTGAAGAAAACTGTTGTTTTTTCGTTTTCTTTTTTTTTGTTTTATATTGAAAAACAAATGAATGAATGACACACAGATTGTGAACTGTCAATCTGTGTGTTCTGGAAACGCCCGCCCGACTGTGGGGTTCTCAATTTTCCCGGTTCTCAATTTCCCCGGTTCTCAATTTTTTTTCTTGGGGAGATTTGTGGGGGAAAAGTCTAGGTCTGTTTTGTTTTTTGGTCCCAGTTCACCCCTGATAAAGACAAGTTTTTGTCATTCTTTTTGAGCTAATTCCACTGGCCAAATGTTCCATAGTCTAATTCCACAGACTGAAGCACAAAAGCTTTTCTTTGTTCACTGATTTGAAGTTTGTTTTGCCTCTCAATAAGTTTTGAATATTTTCAGGTAGAGATTTATTATTCTTTATTATTAAACACCAGTTTGAGTGTTTGAAAGGCGACTGCATCAGAAACTCTGAGTAGATTTCAGAAACATCGGTGTGTTGTGATTCAGGGCTCCAGCCGTGTGTGTGCAGAGTAATGTTCTTCTTCTTCTTCAGAGTCACTAATTTCTGCAGATTTGTTTTACTGTTGTCCCAAACTCCTGTGCAGTATCTGAAGTACTGCAGTACTAGTGAACAGTAAAAAATATGGACTGATTTATAATTCAGAACTTGTTTTGGAATTAGAACCACATGTAGTGTTTTTGAAACTTTTCCTTTACGTGTTTAATGTGTGATTTCCACTTCATTTGATTGTCACTCCTAAAAATCTAATTTCTGTCATTTGTTTAATGTTTACACCATCCAGACACTGATTTCTGTGTTATTTGTCCTATTTCTAAATCTTTCTTCATTTTAGATTTATCTATATTCACTGATGGTTTGTTTACATTAAACCAGAGTTTTATTTGATCAAGTTCTGCAGGTTAATTTCATTCTTGCAGGTCGATGTTAGACCAAAGCAAATTTGCAAACATTATGGCTTTCAGTAAATAAGACACTTGACACATTCATGTTTGTTTGATGTGTTTTACATTAAAGGCTACGATCCACGCCGCGCATCTCAACATTAAACAAAAAAAAAGTATACTGCCAAAAGTGTCTTTCATTTTTAACTTTTCATTTGTATTTCATACATTATAATACAAATATTATTATTTGTATATTTTTGTGTTGTGTTCATGAGTTTTGGAATCATTATTTTATCGTACGTTTTGGGCGGCTCATTCTTTTCAGCTTCCTCACCTCTAAATGTTGCAATAAAATATTTACATCTTTTTAATAATTTGAACACTTTTTATTGCATTTTTGTTCAGGATGGCACCACATTTCAAGTGTAAAACAACACACAACACGCACATTTACATAAAGTCAACTTAATTCTGAGCTCACAGAGTCATATTTGAAAGACTTCTGTCTTTCCCCTTTTAAATTCTATGTACACGTGTTTTTATTGGGTGTTTTTAGTCGTCACAGCTCGTCTTTGTTCAGAATCGCTCCATGTGTTGAATGTTTGTCACTGTGTTTTTTTTACTGCTCAAACTAACTGCCCCTGGTGGGATTAAGTTAAAAATTATAAAATTACAAAGTTATCTGAATCTGAATCAGAACCTTTATAATTTGTCTTCCACAGATTCAGCTCCACCTGAGTTTGTGAAAAAGGGAGGAAGTATCACTTTGCCCTGTAAGAACGTGGGACAAAACAAAAATAATGGAAATATACAAAAGTGTAATGGAACCATGTGGATTTTTAACTCGACTGAAAAACAACAAAAATCTGAAGTCCTTATTGAACATGGAAAAATCACCTCCAAAGTCCCAGAGATGAAACCTCGACTCAGAGTGACACAGGAGTGTGGTCTGGAGATTCAAAATGTTCGTCCTCAGGATGCTGGAAAGTTTCAGTGTCAATTTAACCAATCAGGACGTCACCTGCCCCCTGACGCTTCTGTGTACCTCTCTGTGGTCTCATGTGAGTATTTATATCCATCACGAGTCTAACCCACAGCCTCCTCACTGAGAGGAGACAGGATAACCACTCTGCCACATTAACACTAACACTAACACCATCTCTTGTGTTTCACAGTGATTACATCAAAATACATGGAGAAGAATATTCAGTTCAAATGTAATGTGTCCTCCTCTCTCTCTGCTGTCAAAACAAAATGGCTGCTCAACGGCAAAGACATCAATAATAAAAATATAACAACTCATCAAACAGGCACCACTGTTAAAGTTCCATTCAACTCACTTTCCAGTTACAAAAACCAGCTTGAATGTGAAGTGACTCATGGACTCAAGAAGATGAAGAGTTTCACTCTAGGTGAGACCAGGAGTCAGTTGTGAAAATAATCATAAGACCTTTATTGGTTTAAGACAGAGTTGATTCATGAACCTGCCTTGTTCATTTCAGCGGAGCTTTTAACTACAACTGTAACAACCCAGAACAAGAAAGAAGAAGAAGACGCCAATAAAAGTATGTTTGTGACAAAACCTCCACCAACAACTGAACCAGGTCTAAACTTAGACTTAGACTTAAACAAACTTTATTGATCCACAAGGGAAATGATTTGGACACAGCAGCTCACACATCACAATAAAATATAATAACAAAAAGCAAAAATATAAAAGATTTTTTAAATAAATTCTAAATACGTAGCAAAAAAGAGCAAGAGACAGGAGTCAAATAAGACATAATTATATAAATGTAAATGTACAAGTCAAAATAAAATAGAAAAAATAGGAAAACAGCGTAACAATTGTTAGCATGTGTTATCGGACGAAATAATGACTGGAATCGATCGATTAAAATCACAAAGAATTTATTCCCTATTCAATACAATTCTAATACAGAGCTCTGGGTCAAACTGTTGCCCCTGATGCCCTACAGCTACACAGGACTTACATCAGGCGAACGTCTGTGTTTCCCTCAACCCACAGATATAAAACATCAGCATGAATATTCAAATACATGTTGAGCAGGTTCCTCCCTGAAGCATCATTGTCGTTTACCATAAAGGGACAGTGTCAGGGAGTAACAGATTACATGTACCGGGATTACGTAATCAGAGTACAATTTATGAGTAACTGTATTCAGTTACACTTACTGTTTCAGTGAGTGGTAATTGGATTACAGTTACTTTGTTGAAATAAATGGATTATACAGAGGGATTTAACTGTTTTCACATTTTGGGCTAATGCAGGACTAAACCAGGTCTAAAACCAGAACTAAACCAGGTCCAAAACCAGGACTAAAACCAGGTCTAAAACCAGGACTAAAACCAGGTCTAAAACCAGGACTAAAACCAGGTCTAAAACCAGGACTAAACCAGGATTAAACCAAGACTAAACCAAGACTAAACCAGGTCTAAAACCAGGACTAAACCAGGATTAAACCAAGACTAAACCAGGCCTAAAACCAGGACTAAACTAGGTCCAAAACCAGGACTAAAACCAGGTCTAAAACCAGGACTAAACCAGGTCTAAAACCAGGACTAAATCAGGTCTAAAACCAGGACTAAACCAGGTCTAAAACCAGAACTAAACCAGGTCTAAAACCAGGATTAAACCAGGTCTAAAAGAAGGACTAAACCAGGTCTAAAACCAGGACTAAACCAGGTCTAAAACCAGGAATAAACCAGGTCTAAAACCAGGAATAAACCAGGTCTAAAAGAAGGACTAAACCAGGTCTAAAACCAGGACTAAACCAGGTCTAAAACCAGGACTAAACCAGGTCTAAAACCAGGACTAAACCAGGTCTAAAACTAGGACTAAACCAGGATTAAACCAAGACTAAACCAAGACTAAACCAGGTCTAAAACCAGGATTAAACCAAGACTAAACCAGGTCTAAAACCAGGTCTAAAACCAGGATTAAACCAGGTCTAAAAGAAGGACTAAGCCAGATCTAAAACCAGGATGAAACCAGGTCTAAATCTAAACCAGGTCTAAATAAGGACTAAACCAGGTCTAAACAATATGACACTAACAGCAGAGTGAACATAACTGAAGGCAGCAGTGTCTCATATAGAAATAATTTCTCTATCAATAATATTTTTTATATGTTTAATTAAACACTGGGTTTTTTATTTTCTTTTAGCAGACAGTTATGTTCAGATTTCCTGGTCTTTGCTTCTCCACAACAAACAGTCGCTTATTCATGGAGACTTGGGCTCAACAGACAATTTGAAGAGAACAAGAATTTTCAGGACGTGTTTGGTTCATTCATGTAATTTTAAAAAGCATCACAATATCAAGTAATCCAAAGTATTCAGATTACATTACTCACTTTAAGTAATTTAATGGATTCCGTTACAAACTACATGTAATGTAGGTGTGTGTAATCTGTAATCTGTAGGGGATTACATTTTAAAAGTCACCTTCCCAACACTGTAAAGGGATGACAGCCAAACGACTCCACTGCAACCGCGAAATACACAACCTTCACCTTCACAGCAGAATCTTTAAACATACAGATCAGATTTCAGTGGTTCAGCGTTAACTCACTGTGCGACTTCAGTAACAATATTTAAACAAATATATCATTTCAGTATTTAATATATGCATGTGGTACACTCACCATACTGTATTACTCCATACAGCCTTCACAATGATATGATGACAGGACACAGGGCTATTCATTACATAAGGGGGAGTAGTTGCACAGTTGTAGGGAGTATTATCTGTTACATAAGGGGGAGTAGTTGCACAGTTGTAGGGAGTATTATCTGTTACATAAGGGGGAGTAGTTGTACAGTTGTAGGGAGTATTATCCATTACATAAGGGGGAGTAGTTGTACAGTTGTAGGGAGTATTATCCATTACATAAGGGGGAGTAGTTGTACAGTTGTAGGGAGTATTATCTGTTACATAAGGGGGAGTAGTTGTACAGTTGTAGGGAGTATTATCTGTTACATAAGGGTGAGTTGTTGTACAGTTGTAGGGAGTATTATCTGTTACATAAGGCGAGTAGTTGTACAGTTGTAGGGAGTATTATCTGTTACATAAGGGCGAGCAGTTGTACAGTTGTAGGGAGTATTATCTGTTACATAAGGGTGAGTTGATGCACGTTAGTGTCGACTCTGCTTCCACACAAAGAGGTTTAAACAGGAACGAAGCAAATAAATGAAGAAGTGCATAACAGACACTTCTGTGAGACGAGTTGACCACGGAAACTATGTTAAAGAAAGACAAACTGTGAGCTGACCTCAGAGACATGTAACAATGAACTGGACTTGTTCTTGCTAAGAGCGTGCAGGTGATGCAAAAGATACTCAGTGTTCGTGTGTTGAACTTGTGTGTGCAGGTTCGCTGTGGGCAATTCTGGTAGCTGGAGTTCTTCTCATTGTGGGGGGGATCATATGGAAGAAACACAAAGGTAAGCTGTATCTATGTGTGACACAACAGGCTTCTTTTATTTTATCAAACAAACTAAATGACCAGGCAAAAGGCCCCTCCAAAGCTTCCAAAGCTTCTCACCCCACAGCGGTGAGACGCAGGCCTCGTGCTGTGCTGCTCTGAGCTCCAGGAAGCACTTGAAGGTGAAATTAAATACGACTCTGGTTTATCGCTGTGGTACAGTTTGTAAAGTCCACAGTGACAGAGCAGTTGGAGTGGGACTGCAGATCGATACAGTGGTGCAAAGTGAACAAAAACATCATTTATTATTGATGACATCTGAGAGTTTATTTTGCCAGAATCTTGCGTATGTGAAAAATGAAGGGGAGGGGCCCGTTTGTTAAAGGAGCGCTGTCTGTTGTTGTGATCTGACTGGACGGCAGGACCGAGACTAAAGCAGGACGATACTCGTGATACCAGGACTAAAACCAGGCCAGTCCTGGACAAAGTGAGTTTAAAGCAGGATATGTTTTTCACAGTGTAAAGAGGAAGTGGTGGAGAATGTTTGGTTTATGGTCTACAGATCAGAATGGTTTCACACTCACTAATGTGACTCACTTTCTCCTTTAACACAGTGAGTCACATTAGTGCAAACTGAATATGTGGGCACAGGTTGTATATGATCAGGTTCAATACTTGTGGGGTTTTTCTTTTTGGATTTTGTCCTTCTACAAATCTCATTCATAAAAATGCATTCTTTAGTAAAGTAAGATCTGCTCTGCTCAGGTCAGTCTGAGTGAGGAGGAGGAGGTGACCTACAGCTCAGTGAGGAAGACAGCGGTGGAGGACCCTGCTCAGCTCTACGCCACCGTCAGAACATGAAACAGCAACCAACCAACCCACCGACTGATCAACCAACCGACCCACCAACTGACCCACCGACTGATCAACCAACCGACCCACCAACTGACCCACCAACTGATCAACCAACCGACCCACCAACCGACCCACCAACTGATTAAACAACCGATCCACCAACTGATCAACCAACCGACTGATTAACCAACTGATCCAACAAATGACCCACCGACTGATTAACCAACTGACCCACCGACTGATCAACCAACCCACCGACTGATCAACCAACCGATCCACCAACCAATCCGCCGACTGATTAACCAACCGACCCACCAACCGACCCACCAACTGATTAACTAACCAACCCACCGACTGATCAACCAACCGACCCACCAACTGACCCACCGACTGATCAACCAACCGACCCACCAACTGACCCACCAACTGATCAACCAACCGATCCACCAACTGATCAACCAACCGACTGATTAACCAACTGATCCAACAAATGACCCACCGACTGATTAACCAACCGACCCACCAACAACTAACCAACCCAAAACAAACGAACAAAAATGTACATTCCAACACCAACGTGTGGACTGACCAACAGGAACAAGGCTCTTTCAAATATAAAGTATTGTGACGTTTTAATGCAAAAAATTTAATGAAAATATATTTAACTTGTGAGTTGTAGATGTAACACAAGTAGAAATAGTAGACCTAATCCACAAAGAACTAATAATTCCCTGGAAGTAGTAGTGGAGGCCTTGTAGTACTGGTAATAATCTATTAGAAGTATCAGTGGTCAAATATTAAATATTAGTAGTAGCAGTCTTGTAATAGTACAGCCTAGTGCTAGTATCCTAATAACAATCAACTTTTTATTTCAATATCAACTTGTAGAGCACATTTACAACAACTTATAACAATGCCTTAATAGTAGTAGCGTAGTAGTAGTATTGTTAGCAATCCTAAAAAAGAAGTTGTCAGCGCAGTAATATTTTTGTTGTTATCCAGTGTTTTTTGTGTAAATATTAAAGTTAAAGTTAGTTAGACAGCAGAAGTAACTGGGCCCTAAATATGAGAGAAAGAAAAGATAAAGCTCCACAGAAGAGGAACAGAAGCAGAAGAGGAAGAGGCAGAGGAGAAAAGGAGGAGCAGTATAAGAAACATAAATGTTCAAATCATTTCATATTGTTGTATGAAAATTAATTTATCCTGCACATAAATCTCTCAGGTTAACACTGACTCACAGGAGTTATAGTAACACCATCATGTTTCCTCGGCACACCACTGACACCATTCTCTAACCTGTGGCATGTTGCTGTTTATCCGATGTCTACAGGTCTTCATAGTCTCACCACACTCGCTTTATAAACCTCCTCCCGTGGAAGCAGAGTCAAGGGGCTTAACATTCAAAGATTAAACTCTGTTCCCATTTGAAATCATACTATGTTCACTTCTGAAATCATACTATGTTCACTTCTGAAATCATACTATGTTCACTTCTGGAATCATACTATGTTCCCATTTGAAATCATACTATGTTCAGTTCTGAAATCATACTATGCTCAGTTCTGAAATCATGCTATGTTCACTTCTGAAATCATACTATGTTCTCTTTTGAAATCATACTATGTTCACGTTTGAAATCATACTATGTTCACTTCTGAAATCATACTATGTTCCCATTTGAAATCATACTATGTTCACATTTGAAATCATACTATGTTCACTTCTGAAATCATACTATGTTCCCGTTTGAAATCATACTATGTTCCCGTTTGAAATCATACTATGTTCCCGTTTGAAATCATACTATGTTCACATTTGAAATCATACTATATTCACATTTGAAATCATACTATGTTCACGTTTGAAATCATACTATGTTCACGTTTGAAATCATACTATGTTCACGTTTGAAATCATACTGTGTTCACTTCTGAAATCATACTATGTTCAGTTCTGAAATCATACTATGTTCAGTTCTGAAATCATACTATGTTCAGTTCTGAAATCATACTATGTTCAGTTCTGAAATCATACTATGTTCCCGTTTGAAATCATACTATGTTCACTTCTGAAATCATACTATGTTCCCGTTTGAAATCATACTATGTTCACATTTGAAATCATACTATGTTCACTTCTGAAATCATACTATGTTCACGTTTGAAATCATACTATGTTCACTTCTGAAATCATACTATGTTCCCATTTGAAATCATACTATGTTCACATTTGAAATCATACTATGTTCACATTTGAAATCATACTATGTTCCCATTTGAAATCATACTATGTTCCCATTTGAAATCATACTATGTTCACATTTGAAATCATACTATGTTCACTTCTGAAATCATACTATGTTCCCGTTTGAAATCATACTATGTTCCCGTTTGAAATCATACTATGTTCACGTTTGAAATCATACTATGTTCCCATTTGAAATCATACTATGTTCACTTCTGAAATCATACTATGTTCACATTTCTAGTCCCCCCAGGTCGTATTACTGATGTAAATAAACTTCTCCTGCTTAAGACTCCAGTTGGTCTCCAGCCTTTTACTTCCACCTTTTCTTGGACAAACTGAAAACTTCAACAACTGTCAACATAAAACTTGTGTCACCTTTAGACTCACTGTACTTACTGTACAATAAAAAACTCAAGTAAGAGTACTGGCCACACCGGCTTGTCTAGGCCTGATCCCGTCAGATCTCAGAAGCTCAGAGGCTGGACCTGGTCAGTACTTGGATGGGAGACCAGTGGGAACATCAGGAGCCACAGGAGGCACCAGTCACAAAAACTGTTGTTTGTGTCTTTAGGCAAGACACTTCACCCACATTACCTAGTATGAAAGTGGTGTGTGTGTGAGTGATGGTGTTTTGGTCGGAGGGACCGATGGTGCTGATTGGCAGCCGCGCTTCTGTCAGTCTGTCCCAGGGCAGCTGTGGCTACAGTAGTAGTTTACCACCACCGGGTTTGGAGAGACTCACTAATGTTCTGTAAAGTGTCTTTGTGACAAATGTCTGTGAAAAGCACTATATAAATAAAGACTTATTTACTTAATGCTTCACTGTACAATAAAATACTCAAGTAGGAGTACTGCTTCAGTGTCGTATGTTACACAAGTTGGAGTAAAATATAGCGTCAGTCAACTGTGAGAAGTACAAGTTCATGAAAATGTGAGTAAAATCCCTCAGTCGTTCAGGTAGAATCCACAGCAAAAGAAGAAATTCAATTTGTCAACTGGACAAACGTTTTTGGTTGAATTCAATTTCTCAGCTCATCCAAGCTGCTTCCTCAGTTCTGGTCAGACACCAGTGGACTTATATCTGCCTGCAGGGGGCGCTCACTACACTGAAACTACTCTGAAACTAAACACACTTATTTATTTACAGTTTCTGTGAGTTAGCTCGGCCTATTGAACTGCACTGAGATTGGATGAGCTGCGAAACGGATTTGACCAAAATAAACTTTGTCCAATTGACAAATTCAGTTTCTCCTTTTGACAATTTAGTGAAAAGGACCTCACTCAATCATCTGCTGTTAAAGTCAAGGTTAAGTTCACATGTTCCTGTGTTTTATATCATGTTTTTGTGTCAGGTCAAATGTGCTGTAATAAATAAACCAAACTCACAGGAGAAAGCTGCGAAGTGGGACTACAGCAAAACCACATTTCTAATAAAACTGCTAAACTACAGCTACTACTGCTACTGCTACTGCTACTACTACTACTACTACTACATGTGTGTGAGGGCATAGGAAAGTGGGGGAAATATTGCGATATGAAAGAAACTGGTGTGAAGTGAAAGAGGAAGCTCTAAATAAATAAACCTGTTCAAGAGTTACCCAACAGCGCCATCTTGTGGTTAAACATGTCGATCCTTTCAAATCTTCTGTCATCAGGATGTTGAAAATTCTGGAATGGAGAAAAAAATTGAAGCTGAAATAATATATTTACATTGACGAGCAGACTTGAATGCTTTGGTTTTATGACATAATAACAAAAAATAAGCAACAATTATGAATTTTTCAAGGTACAAATCTTATTTACAGTTTTCTAACCCTAAAATAGTATTTGGGCTTCACAAAAGGCATAATTTATGATGAAATGTGTAATATAGCTGTAGATGAAGTGAAAAACTGGATTTTGCTTTAGAAAAAATGCTCAGTGTCTCTCTTAATCTCTTGTTAAATAAACAAATAATGTAAAACACAATTGTAAATGTTTTTAAACTGGGCTCTGATTTCATTCACATGTGTCTGAGTGGTTTTTATTTTCCAAATTGTTCTTGATTTTTCATAATTTGTGATATTCTGAAATTAATGGAGTTTTCCCATAAAACTGGCATTATGTTCCACTTCACTTTTGCCTCCAGCCGCTTCCATGACGAAATTTAGAATATTTTTGTTTACAATTTATCAAAGGGTGTAAAGGGACAATTAAAAAAGCCTCATTCTTTTCACATTGTGGCTAAATATTAAATTAAAAACCAAACACGTAGCTCCATAAAAACAGTAGAGAAGAAAACAAAACAAACAAACACGGGGACTCACGTGGTTACGTCACTTCCTCCTCACGTTTGGCTCCGGGAAAATCCGTAAAAATATGTCAAATTTGTTTTCATTTCTTTTTTAAAACTTATATTTTGTGTTTGACAAAGTTTAAACCGTGTTAGCATCGGAGCTAACGCCGTTTCAGAAAAGCGCGAACGTGTCCGTGATGAGCCAATCAAATGTCCCAAAGTAACTAACGAAATAAATAAATTAATTGGAAAAAAAAAAAAAAAAAAGATAATAATAATGAAACTAAATAAATAACTAAATAAATAAATAAGTGACTAAATTAAAATAAATAAATAAATAACGAACTAACTAAATAAATAAATAACAGAAAAAACTAACTAAATTGAAAAAAAAAAAAAAAAAAAAAACTAACTAAATAAATAAATAAATAAGTATCTAAATTGGCAAACTAAAAAAAAAAAAAAAAAAAAAACTAAACCTGGTTTAGGTATAAACTAGGACTAAACCAGGTCTAAATCAGATCTAAACCAGGACTAAACCAGAATTAAACCAGGTCTAAACCAGGACTAAATTAGGTCTAAACCAGGTCTAAACCAGGTCTAAACCAGGACTAAACCAGGACTAAACCAGGACTACACCAGGTCTACACCAGGTCTAAACTAGGACTAAATCATGTCTAATCCAGAACTAAACTAGGTCTGACCCAGATCTATCCCACAACTAAACTAGGTCTTTTCCAGGTCTAAATCAGATCCAAACCAGGTCTAAACCAGGACTAAACTAGGACTAAACCAGAACTGAACCAGGAGTAAACCAGATCTAATCCAGGACTAAACCAGGTCTAACCAAGGTCTAACTCAGGACTAAACCAGGGCTAAAACAGGACTAAATCAGGTCTAAACCAGGACTAAACCAGGACTAAACCAGGACTAAACCAGGACTAAACCAGGACTAAACCAGGACTACACCAGGTCTAAACTAGGACTAAATCATGTCTAATCCAGAACTAAACTAGGTCTGACCCAGATCTATCCCACAACTAAACTAGGTCTTTTCCAGGTCTAAATCAGATCCAAACCAGGTCTAAACCAGGACTAAACTAGGACTAAACCAGAACTGAACCAGGACTGAACTGAGAACTGAACCAGGAGTAAACCAGATCTAATCCAGGACTAAACCAGGTCTAACCAAGGTCTAACTCAGGACTAAACCAGGGCTAAAACAGGACTAAATCAGGTCTAAACCAGGACTAAACCAGGACTAAACTAGGTCTAAACCAGGAATAAACCAGGACTAAATCAGGTCTAAACAAGTACTGAACCAGGACTGAACTGAGAACTGAACCATTAAACCAGGTCTAAACCAGGACGAAACCAGATCTAATCCAGGACTAAACCAGGTCTAAACCAGATTTAAACCAGGACTAAACCTGGATTAAACCAAGACAGAACTAAACTGGGTCTAAACCAGGTGTAAAACAGGACTAAACCAGGTCTAACCCAAGACTAATCCAGATCTAAACTAGGACAAAACCAGGACTAAATTTAGACTAAACTAAACTGGGATTAAGATGGGTCTAAACCAGGTCTATAACAGGTCTAAACCAGGTCTAACCCAGAATTAAATGGGATCTAAACTAGAACTAAACCAGGACTAAACCTGGACTAAAGCAAGCCATGAATAAACTGGGATTAAACTGGGTCTAAACCAGGTCTAACCCAGGACTAAACCAGGTCTAAACTGGGACTAAACCAGGACTAAGCCAAGTCTACACAAGAACTACTCAGGTTTTACCCAGGTCTAAACCAAGTCTACACTAAGACTAAACCAAGACTAAACCAGGTCCACGTTTATACAATTTAATTTCATCTTTTCACATTGTGAGAATTCAAAGTTAGATTTTTGCTTAAATAAATAAATAAATAAATAAACAAATTCACAGTTCAAATAAATTCTATATTTTTCTCATTTTGTAAAACTGAAAGTAGATTAAAAAGAACAGGCAATTTAAACAAAAATAAATAAAAGACTAAGACAAATAAAATAAAAGACTAAATTAAAAAATCCTGTCAAAATGAACAATGGTTATAATTAACTGTTTTTTAAAAAAAATAACCCGGATGAAGGAACGATCTGGAAATGTCAAACTTGGAAACACAATTTGAAAGGTTTTCCAATACCGCCATCTTGTGGTTCAAAATAAAATGTGAAATAAACCAGTAAATGTACAACAGACAGGAAACAACTTATTTTAACATTTTTAAGTACAATATTGTGAGTTTCACGTTCAACATTATGTCTGTGTGTGTCAGATGCCCTCCCAGGACTTATAACAAGACACAATGACTTTATAAGGACTTTTATTTTGAAATGTTCCAGTGTCTTTGCTTTTGTAACACAGGCTGTGTCTCAATTCAAAGGGCTGCAGCCTCCGAAGGCTGTGAAGGTTGTGAAGGTTGTGAAGGTTGTGAAGGTTGTGAAGGTTGTGAAGGTTGTGAAGGTTGTGAAGGTTGTGAAGGTTGTGAAGGTTGTGAAGGTTGGGTCCTTCTTCGGCCGTGAAGGCATATGAGACTCTGGAGTTTAAAAACATGAGCAGTTTGTACAAAGACAAACCTGTTTGTCACACTTAAAGTCTTGATGTTTCACATGTGTCAAGGTCAAACGCGCTTTGAATGTCACACCTCAAACCACACGGCATCAGTGCTAAACATGGTGCAAGACTCTGGCTAAAAAATGTGTTTCAGAATGATTAAAACCAACGCCACATGCCCTTTCACTCAAATCAACCCCCACAATGGAACAAAACCACAAAACCACACACACACACACACACACAGAGTCATGTACACAGTTTCACCTACGTGTACACCCACACACACACCCACACACACACACACACAAACACACACACACAACACACACACAAAGACACACACACACACACAAAGACACACACACACACACCCACACACACACACACACACAAGACACACACACACACAAAGACACACACACACA